TCTCTTTCTATAGACACAAAATATTCTTTCTTGGAGCTTTCTGGAGTACTTTAGGGATCCTTTTATTTTTTCGATCAATTTTTATCAGCCATCGTGAAATTAATAATATCATAATTTTCGGATACAATACATTGACACGCTCAGTGGGACCATGATTATTTCATGTCTTGCTTTATTTTTATAAAACTAAGAGCATTATCCCATTCATATAGAAAATAAACTACAATGTGGATACGGTGTGTCAGTGGAAGACCGATAGAAATTTTATTAGTTTAAGGAGGCCGGATCATATACAAATATGACTGTTTATGTCTCTCCATCTAATTGGGGAGGAAAGTTGGCCACAAAATCCGACCAGAGAAGCAAGTCTTTCTCAATCAAGAGGAGTAAAATGGCATGCTAAGCCAGTATAGATTTTTATGGTTTGAGAAAAAACATCCCTCTATCATTTTTACCATTTCCTTGGGGAATCTGGGTGCCATGCAGTTAACAACACTACATTACCCCGTCATATTATGGAACCCCGTGGGTTCGTATGCCCATATCCCTCCAATCCACCATTTGACAAGGGGGGCTATGGATAATGTGAAAATTACAACAGTCCTGTATGCATCACTACAACATCCATTCCATATATATAATAAAGTTTCAAAAATTTCGAGATAATTTTTAATTATAAAATAATAGGAGTATATATAATAAAACTTCGGAATTTTTGAAGCTTTTTAATTACTTAAATATAAATAATATACTATAATAGAACTTTGAAAATTATGAGACAATTTTCTTAAATATAAAAAGAACATATATAATAAAGCTTCATAATTTTTTAAGCTTTTTAATTAATTAAATATAAATAATATATACTCCCGCCGTCCACAAAAAAAAATATACAATTACTTTTGGCGCGGTGTTTAAGAAATAATAGTATTTTAATTATAGTGGATAGTTAAAAGTAGTGTAATGATATTTTTGCCCTTACTTTTTGTTATAAAAGTAATGATGTGATGTAAAGTAGGGGTATTTGTGGAAAAAAGTAAGGTATTTAATGAAATATTTACTTTGTAATTGGACGTCCCAAAATAGAAACATGTATACTTTCTAGCTGGACGGAGGGAGTATAATAAAACTTCAAAAATTTTGAGACAATTTTCTTAATTACAAAAATTATATATATAATAAAACTTTAGAAAATTTGAGACCAAGCAATGGACTCGGAAATTTCCAAATTTGTTTTGCGCTTGCGGATAATAGAAACATAATTAGATCAATTTCGGGTATTAAAAAACTAAGATATACAATAAAACTTTGGAAATCTCGATATAATTTAAAATGAACTTAGAAAATTACGAAGCTTATACGATAGTTAAGGAATAGCCTCGGATATTCTGTTTTTTAAATTAAATAATATTATGTAGAAAATGATCTCAGAACTTCTGAAATAATTAAAATAAAAACTATTTAAAATTATTTATATTACTCCCTCCATCCATTTACAATGTTTGCATTTACTTTTGGCGCGATGTTTAAGAAATATAGCATTTTAATTATAGTGAATAGTTAAAAGTAATGTAATGACATTTTTGCCCTTACTTTTTTTGTGTAAAAGTAATGACGTGATTTAAAGTAAAGGTATTTGTGGAAAAAAGTAGGGTATTTAATGAAATATTAACTTTGTAATTGGACGTCCCAAAATACAAATATGTAAACATTGTAAGTGGACGAAGGGAGTATTTTTTAGTAGTCTCGGCATTGATTTTGAAATTTTTTTCCAACCGCATTCCCAAAATTTTGATAGTACTATAACAAACCCTAAATATTTTCTCTTATGAATCACTTTCTATAGAATATTGAAGAGGAGGCTTTAATATGAATTGTTTGTCCCAAATCCTTGTATTTCAATGAACAATCCAACAAAAACCAAATAACAAAAAATATATAGGCTGTGGAAGATATGATAAAATCAGACTTGCTTAACAGCTAATTGTCAAATATTATATAGATGACAATTGGACGGGTCTTACCCCGGCCTTGGTGCTATAGAACAAGTTTGACTTGAAAATTTAAAGTTCGGGGCGAATTATGAATTTTACAAAATTAAATCCGATCAAATTCGTAGTGGATTACAGGTTTGCTCATAAACCTGTCCCGAACCCAGCCCCATTTTAAACCAATTAAATTAATAATTTTGAAAATTAATATTACATATTTTTATAATTATTCATATTACCTGAATTTATAATTTTATATATTTCTCGTTTTCATTGTTTTATATTTTTCAATTTTTCATAAACTTCAATATATTTATCTTCTAAATATTTTTTTCGGATTGGTCTCGTATCCGATAGATTTAAGGTGGTACGTATTCTAAGGCGGGGTTGAAGCGGGGTGATGTGAGTTATGGGGTCTATGATTGTTTTGCAAGGTAAGTTTTAAGGTACAAAACTCGTCCTGTTACTATCCTTAAAACACCACGTTTGAAGAGTTGTATGCTTAAGAATTTATTAATTACATTGAGTATGTTTAGCTGTGAGATTTTAGTTTTGGGCTTCGTTTTGAATAATAATTTTTTAAAGTTAAATAATTGTTTTATGTGTTATAAATATGTATTAATGTAATATTTTGAATGTAAAATTAAATTTTAGTGTAATATAATAAATGAAAAATAGATACTCACCTCCGTCCCAATCCAAATAGGCATTTTTAGGGTTTTGTAGTAGATTAAAAAATAATACTAGTATTTATTGGCCAGTAGAAGTGGGTATCACATTTTGTCATTTTTCCCATTGAATTAACTTTAGGTATAAAATATTTGTATACGAATAGTATGTTTGTAATTTAAGTAAAAATCTAATAGTATTTTGATATTAATGTATAATTATTTTTTTTAAAATAAAAAATAGGTACCTTTGAGTGATAAAAATATAAATGGTAAAATGATACTTTGAGTTGGAACAAAGAAAATATTTGATTTGATATTAATTTTTTTTTTTGCTTGAATAGCGAAATCAACATCAAAATTTTATTTAAAAGTAAACACATTCAATTAATTATTAATTAAAACATGAATTTTTTTTTTTTATTTTTTTTATTTTTTTAAAGTTCAGGTCAAATTCTTAAATTTTATATTTTTGTATTATCTTCAAACTAAATTCTTTTGCCAACTTGTTTTATATAATACTTCATCTGTCTCGGAACAACGGACACTTTTGATTTATAATATAAAATTTAATTAGTTAATAATAGTGAGTTCTAATATATGTTTTTATATAAGTGATATTATTTGTAGTTTTAAAATAAGTATTAATATGATTAAAAAAATTTAAATTAAATATTTAAATATATTAAAAATTTATATTTCAATCAAATAAATATCATATGTATATTATTTTGTATAGAATAAAATTTTATATAATACAAATAATAGAAAAATATATATATTTATTTATAATTAACATAAACTAATTTTTATAAAATAAATAAAATTTTAAATATAAATAAAAATACTACACGTATCCATTCAAAATCTTTTTATTTTTATCTTCTTTATCGATAAACAAATATTTTTATCTAAATTTAAAACTTATCATTTTTTATATACTTAATTTTAAGTTAATTACAAATAAATAAATATATTTTTTTATTCATTTGTATTATATTCCATCCGTCCAGCTACAAAGTATACATATTTCTATTTTCGGATGTCCAATTACAAAGTAACCATTTCATTAAATACCCTAATTTTTTCCACAAATACCTTTACTTTACATCACATCATTACTTTTATACCAAAAAGTAAGGGCAAAAATGTCATTACACTACTTTTACCTACCCACTATAATTAAAATACTATTATTTATTAAACTCCGCAACAAAAGTAACTGTATACTTTATCCGTGAACGGAAGGAGTATAAAATTTTATTATTTACAAAATGTATCAATATTGTATATATTAATATTAAAAATATTTAAAATACCAACAAACACTATTTATATAAAAATAATAAAATAAAATTATAACTTATTATTAATAACTTACTAATTTACCTAACTTATACTCCTTTCGTCCAGCTAGAAAGTATACATGTTTCTATTTTGGGACGTCCAATTACAAAGTAAACATTTCATTAAATACCTTACTTTTTTCCACAAATACCCCTACTTTACATCACATTGTTACTTTTACACCAAAAAGCAAGGGCAAAAATATCATTACACTATTTTTAACTACCCACTATAATTAAAATACTATTATTTTTTAAACACCGCGTTAAAAGTAATTGTATACTTTTCTTGTGGACGGACGAAGTAAAAGACAGTGTTACTAACAAAATAATTTATATCTTGCTGACGAGAAAGTATATAAAAATATGAAATAAAATAAGATAGAAAAGAGGTAAATTGTTTTGATCGGAAGGAGCAGTAATAATAACCAACAGCTACATCTGAAATAATCCATTTTAAATAATAAAAACTAATGTAAGGGACAGATGGGCAATCCGACGGCTGAAACGTATTGGGCGCAGTGCTCAAAACAAAGAGTAGCAAAATGCAAACGGGTAAAAATCGAATGCTCCTCAGGCACAATCTGATCTCGCAAACAAACAAACAAACCCTAATATGATTTATTTATTAAAATAATCAAAATCGGCGCCGGAGACCTTGTCGGAATCTTCATCCACCAACTTAATCCCAGGTGCATTCCTTGGCTTTCGATCCTGTGCAGTTTTTATTATCGTTCGTCACTGCTTTTGACTCGAATCTGAGAAATTGTGATTTTAATCGAATGATTTCTCCCACCCACGTCGTGAGTTTGGATTGCAGTGGTAGAAATGGCTATGAATTTTGATGCATTTTTTTTTTTTTTTTTTGTATTTTTTGCTTTTGTTTTCTGTAATATTTTGCAATCCAAAATTTCAACTGCAGGATTGCCGCATAGACAAGTGTGAGCTTCCAAATGGTTAGTTCGCTTCATATATAATTTTTAATTATCTTATTGGAAAGTTTGCTTATTTTTACCCTTTTCTTACATTACTAACTCTGAGCTTTTTGGGGAGCTATGTGCCAGTTTGTTTGATCGTTTTACTTTTCTGCTATGTTGAATTGAATCTGTTTGATTTCTACGAAGTTATCTGAATCTTCCGCTTTATGTTGATACTCTAAATAGTCTATTACCATATATTTGTGCAATATCTTCATCAGTTTGTGATTCTATCTTTGTTCTGGCACATGATTTCTGTATAAAGCTCTTAGATAAGATTCTTTTGGAAATAGTTATGGAGCTCTAAATTCTGTTGTTTGCAATATCTTTACTCATCATTTGTGTGTTTTGAAGGCAGTATTCATGGTCATATGATTTTGGATTTCTTGTCCTGTAGTATGGCTTCATTGATTGAGGTAACAGCAAGGAGGTGCTTAGTCCTAATTAGAATCAAAAGTTTATAGTAAAATAGGAGCAGTAGTTGAAATGATTGCAAATAAAGCAATATATATTAAAGCAATCAAGACTGTATGGAAAGAACACTACATATCTAGAATGTTTTTATGTTAAAGGGCATTTGTGAACTTTATGATTTTAATGATGAAGGGACATATGCTATAGGTTGTAACTGAACTTAAGTAGGGTTAAATTCGTTATATGTAAATTATGTTTAAACAAGAAAAGAAAAAAAAGAAAAAAGAACTGCTAGAAGGGGTTGTTTCTAGCTGGAAACAGTATTATTAAGTAGTTAGAAGCCCTGGTGGGCTTTTGTAAATACCCTTCTCTTGCCTTATCTTAAACAAAAACAAAAAACATTTTATAACAAAGTTTACATACACTCCCGGAGACTTTTTGTGTTCTTAACTATTATCATTCCAGGACAAAGGATTTTGGATGGCTAAAGGAAGTGACCATTTGGCCGATGGAGACACCGTTTTTGATAATGCATCTAGAAAGGAATCTAAGCGTGCCCCGCGGGAATGGTTCTTAGATGCTTCTGAGCCGGAGTTATTTCCTAGCAAAAAGCAAGCTGTTGAAGCCACTGTTGGCAAGACAGAATCAGGAATTGCTATGTTGAGTTCTCTCCCATGGGAAAATTCTTCTAGATTTCTGTCAATGCCATCCGTGACAAGCCCATTCTTGGATGGGCAATTTGAATCTGATATTAAAAAACCCATAACTTTGACCGACAGAAATATGCCCATGGGTATGATGGATGGTTCGAATGTGAGAAAAGTAGTTAGAAGTGAACATTTTGAGAATGATCCCTCTGTTGGTCTATCAATTTCTTATGCTATGGAAGACCCTGAAACAGAATTAAGTTATGGTGGACTTAGAAAAGTGAAAGTCAATCAGGTTAAGGATCCTGAAAACGGATTGCATACATCGATGGAACATGGTATAGGAATTTCCATGGATCATTCATACCCCAGAGCAAATGAAAATACCTTCATATCCATGGGACAACCCAATATTGGAAATCATGCTTCATTGATTGGTCATTCCTATGACGTTGGGGAAGCAAACATTAGAACAATTGGATCAACCTTTGAGAAAGGTCTTTCCAATAACATTTCGTTACCTCAATCCTACAACAAAGGGGACAGCAACACACTCTCTTTCGGAGGCTATCAAGATGAATCTGTTATGGAGGCTCTGTCTCGACCAATTACTAGCTATGGCTTATTATACGAACAATCTTCAACTCCGACATCAGAAATTCCGAGCAAAAAGATGATGGATGCGCTGAATAATGGTGCTAATTTGAGCACTTATCAGGGTACTAAACCCAAAGTTGATTCACTATCTAAGAATAAGCTAGAGACTAAACCAACTAGAAAAGAGGCCCCAAACAGCTTCCCATCCAATGTGAGGAGTTTGATAGCCACTGGTATGCTTGATGGGGTGCCGGTGAAGTATGTTTCTGTCTCTCGTGAGGTATATTTAATCTTTTTTAATTTCTAAATTTTCTTTTTCTTTTTTTTTTTTTTGGTGATCATCACAGTTTGTATTCTATTTCATTAATGGGCTAACAAGAACTTTTTTCCATTTGACAAGGAATTGCGTGGTATAATTAAAGGCTCAGGCTATCTTTGTGGGTGCCAGTCTTGTAACTATTCTAAGGTATTAATCTCCAATTTGATCAATTTAACCATGGTTTAGGGTCCTGTTTACCATTCTTAAAGAAAAAATAAAAGATTCTTATTATTATTTTTCTGCCAAGAGGTTGGACTTCTGCTACTAACTAAATATTATAATAATAATGTTCAAATAGGATGGAGTAACTTAGGTGCTTCCATGATAGAACACCATCTGCAGAAAGAGTTACTTATGGACTAATTTTTGTTCCAAACGCTCAAATTAGGCTTTTTTTTTTTTTTTTCTTCTTCTTTCGGTTAATTCTCCTAAAATCCCTATTTGGCAAATTGTTTTCCTGGTCAGTAGTGTTTGTTCTTTGTAACTCCCTATTTATTCTTTACAATTCTCCATTTATGATTTTACAATTTTTCACCTATAAACTTTCAATTTTGCCCTCAAAATAATATTTTATTTATAATTCTATATACCTAATTTAACCCAAAACCCTTGATTTATGTAAACAATTATCAATTTTATTATTATTATTTTTTTTTTTACAAAATGACAGACGAACGATACTGAATGTTTGAAGTATATGTTCATTAACTTATTAATACTTTATTCAATCAAAAATTAATATTCTTTATAAATATTTTGTATTAAAATTTAATAATTGTGGACATTTAAATATATATATACATGTAATTTATTTGTTTATTTTTTAATAGTAAAAAATTGAAATTATATGGTAGAAATTAAGAGTTGTATGCGAAGATAACAAAAAAAATTGAAGTTAATAAAATAAAATAAATAAGGGTATTATAGGAATTTTAAGTGAATAGGGAGTGAAGAAGAATAAATTAAGATGAATAGGGAGTAAATGAGACGAATTTAGTGTACAGGGAGTAAATAGGAAACTAAATTTAGAATTAGATAGTTTAATGGAAGTTTTTTTTTTTTTTAAATTAATTTAACTTGCACAGACATTTAAACTTGTACTTTTGATTAAAACTGTAACCAATCTTTATCTTTTTAGTTTGATTATTAGTTAAACGTATAGAAGATAATTGTTGCTCAAGTCTTAATCTTTCTCCTGTTAAGGCACTTAATGCGTATGAGTTTGAGCGTCATGCTGGCTGCAAGACAAAACACCCGAACAACCACATATACTTCGAGAATGGGAAGACCATTTATCAGATAGTTCAGGAGTTAAGAAGCACTCCAGAAAGTATGCTGTTTGATGCAATTCAGACATCTACTGGTTCTCCCATAAATCAGAAAGCCTTTCGTACTTGGAAAGGTAATGAAAGTCTCACCCACCCAACCCCAGCTTATAAGTACATTGTTTGTTTATTGCTTGATTTCTCTCTGCTAACATATATATATATATATCTTCCTTTACAACAGAATCATTCCAAGCAGCAACCCGTGAGCTTCAGCGGATCTATGGAAAGGATGAGCTTAACTTATGATATTAGTTTGTTTCAGTGGGACAATTTTGATGTGGGATTGTATATTAGCTTCTTCGCTTGTGGAGGAAACAGCATATTCTGGGTAAGACATGTAAAATGTTGACTTGAAAGATATGTTCACGCGATCATGCCTGCAATGATAACTATGTGCTTGCCCCTACTGATAGATTCGAAGAAGAATGAAATATTATATTGAAAACTGCTGGTGCTGGTGCTGCTGCTGCTGCTGCTCCCTGACCCGATCGATGGATTATTTCTTATGAAGAGCTTGTATTCAAATTAGACAACAAGATGGCATACATTGTTGTATTAGACCCTTCCAGGTTCTGATTTCCCCTTTATGAATCAGCCACGCATTGATTAATTATTTCAGGTTGTTAAGTAATGCTAATATCACCCAAGAATGTTCGTGTTCTAGTATCCATTTAAATTGTAGATAATGTATCTATAGTTGTGACCACACCACTGTGAAATTAGCCAAGAAAATCTATCTATTTGTACAATACCAGTAAAGGAAATCTCAATATTACCGACTGAGTTAGTGAAGCCAATAGGAGATTTGAAGGTGTTTTGCATTAATAATATCTGCACTTGGGCTTTTATTTTTTCCTTTTGTTATCAATCTATTGTTTTCTCTCGTCGAAAGGTCTTTTGTTATGAAATATCTTTTTATCCATCGCGAATATACTCTCTCTTCCATAAGCTTTTCACATTAAAAGTTAAGATAAAGGTCTCTTTAAGCTCTGGCGTGATAGAGTTTATGATCTAAGCCTTTAAGGGCATTTACCTTAATCCAAACATCATAGTACTCCAAGGATCCTTTCATTGGCTTGAGTTGTTGAATGTGCAGAAATCATATTAACATTGGAACAAGAATTATCAGTCATTTGCTTAATAACTAACCAACATATTGTAAATCTTTGGTATCAAGTGAGCTTTGATCCTAGAGTTGGCAATAGGGCAATTCGTGTCGGGTTCAATACTTTAAACGGGTTAAATTGCTCAACTCTAACCTGACTAATTTATTATCATGCCAGGTTTGTGTTGACCCGTTTATCATCGTGTCGGGTTCGTGTTGACCCGTATATATAATTCAGTCGAAATCTTTATTCAAATTAAATTATTTTTTGTTGTGTCATCGTGTTATTTTAATTTCTATTGCTTCGAACCTAATGTGTATAATGAATTATGTTGAATTATTTGAAAATGAGTTTAGTTTAAATTAATAAATGAGTAAATTATTAAATTATAATTATTTTACATATAATAAATATAGTAATCACTATTAATATATTATAGTCGGGTTGTTGTGTTGGGTTGGATTTGAAAGTCTCGACCATAACCCGATCTATTTATTATCGTGTCGGGTTCTTTTTAACCCATATATATAATCGAGTTAAAATCTTTGACCCAAATCCAATTATTTTGTGTCGAGTTCATGTCGGATCAATTTTTGCGGGCTCTATTTGATACCATGAAAAGAAAGCTAATAACTCTCAACAAGGAAGGAAAAAACAAACCCAAGAAGAAACATGATAGTGAGTTGTAACTTTCATATATTTTTCACTATATCTGATCATATCCATACATGCTCCTTTTATATACTGCAATCTAACAAACCACTTACCCAAATTTATAATGAAGTGGCAATGGCAGTCACTGCAAATGGACATTGAAATTTTCTTAGTAGAGTTGTTAACTATCCGAGCCGAACCGAGTCAAATTTTGAGTGTTCATTAACGTTCGCGAACAAGACTCGTGTTCGTTCGTTAAGCTTTCGAGCTTGTTCGTAGTGTTCGAGCTCGGCTCGTTAAGAATTTTTGTTGTTTGAGCTCGTGTTGGTGTTCGGCTTGTTTAGGCTCAATTAAGCTTGTTCGAGCTCGTTTGTCTTATTTTTTTTAAATTTATATATAAATTATAAAAAAATTTAATATATATATTTTAAATTAATATTTGATTTATTTATAAACTATAATTTTATATGTATATATAATATTTATAATAAATATATTATTTAAACGAACGTTCGCGAACAAAGCTCGGACTCGTTCGTTAACCAAACGAGTCTGTTTATGTTGTTCGACTCGGCTCGTTAACATTCGCAAACGAGCTTTAATAGAGCCGAATTGAGCTGAATCGAGCCGAGTTCACAAACGGTTGGTTTAACAACTCTAAGAAATTCTTAGGTAATATTGTCTTGTAGAGCATACAAAATAAACCTGAGCCATAAACTGATTTGCCTGTGTGGAGGTTTCCCATAAAATATTGGGCTTTAATTTTAGCTATAAAAAACTTGGGACTAAGCTAGCCCACCGGTAAAAATGAATTTATTATTCAATTTTAAATTTTAAATTTAACTATTATTTTAGCACATATCAAATTCTAATATTAAAATTTTATACTATCCTATCCAATTCAATAAAATACTAAATTCGATTATTCAAATGCTAATTCACCTTATAATATGTTAGCCTCCTAAACTTATTTGGTTCCTAATAAGATTATTTGAAGTTAGAAAAAATATAGCAAAATTCATTTCTAGTTGTTTTATAAACGATTTTCGAATAATAAAAAAATTGGTGTAGCATGTGGCAAGGCTGATTGGAAGCTATACGGCATATAACATACCCATTCTAGAAATCCTTGGGAGATTGCGTTGTACTCCCTCCGCCCCAAACATCCTGCGACATTTTCTTTTTGGTATGTCCCAAATACTCTGCAATATTTTTAAAATAGGAAATAATTAATTATACTTAATCTCTACCACACACTTTATCCCCTCACATCATCCAAATAAAAAAATAAAATATATATTTCTCACTCCATCACATCACCTAATTTCTAAATTATCCTACTTAATACTATCCACCTAAAAACCCGTGTCAAAAGTAAATGTTGCACCCTGTTTGGGACGGAAGGAGTATTTGATTGCGTTGAGATTTTATGGGCGGTTTGGGAAAAAAAAAACACCATGGAAGGGGGGGTATAATTAAAATTTTCAATTAGATTGATAATCTCATAATCGGCTCGCTCCCAGCACCCTTGTAGAATTTAATTTTTCAGGGGGTCAACTAAAAAGTTTTTTATCCTTCAAGTTTTTTTCTTTTTTATGGGAGAGGTAGATATAATTCTCAATGTTAAAATTCACATGAGAATTATGAATAATATTGGCCAAATGATGTGATTATCTTCTGAGTATGAAATTAAAATTTGATTGGTTCAATTTTGTACATATATGTATATATGAATATTATAAATTGAACATACTTTTCTTTTACCAAAATGTCATATAATTAATTTGAGAAAATTAATTAATGTGTTTCCAAAACACATGGAATGAATTCTGGTGTCCCTAGAATTAATTTTGTATAAATTAAGTTGTAAAGGATTGGTTCAAAATTCTTTTACGAATTGTTCATTAGTGATTATATGATAATCGTTTGAACACATTTTAAGAATTGTCAAATATAATTTGATTTGGATTACGTCAGATGCTTTGACCGTAATAATAATTCTTGGAATTAGTACTTTGCCATCAAAATATTACTCTCAAACTTTGTGCACAACTTTTATATCTCAACTCTCAATATTTTGACACAATCAAACAAAAAAAATGAGACAATTTCGATTTCTCTAACCTCATTTCTCCATACCAAATTACTTAAGGAGTGTTTGTTTGGGAGTTTGGATTTTGGATTGAGATTTGAATAGTAAAAAATTTGAATTAGAATAGTGGCATGATGTGATATAAATAATTATTGATGTTATGTTTTGAATATAAAATTAATTTTTTTGTATAATATAAAAAATAAAAAATAAGTGTCTGATTTGATGTTTTTGGAAGAAAAAATTTGTATGAATAGTAGAAGTACTTCCAAATTCTTCAAAGAAACACAATCTTAAAATAACAATAACTAATATAGATTTTCAAAAGCTAATTATAATTCTAATTTATGAAACCACTCTGGCATGACATAAACTTAAAAGAAACTCTTAAAACCAAATCCACATAATTGGATTGATGAGCACACTCAGAAAGCAGCAGGCCATAGCCAAATGGATGATTTGACTGAATAATTTGGAACAAACAAGTTGAAAATAATCATAAATAAAGAAAAAAGTGAAGGCAACTAAGTTAATGGTTGGGGCATATGCCAAGAAGATCCTCCCATCCTCCATTATTATATGCTCCATTATTAGATGCATACATATATAGAGATATATATATTACTCTTCCATTATTTTCACAAATTTACAGAAGAATATAAATAATTCTCAGCAAGTTGCTGCTCCAACTCCAACTCACACAAAGAGATGATATATATGGCAGCAGAATTAGGAGATGAAGAAGACAGAGACGAAGCAGAATATGAAGATGTTAGAGTGAATGAGTGAGTGAGTGAGTGAGTGAGATTATTCTTTTTCTTATTTTTGTTGTTTAATTTTGGGCAACTTTTAATCCTTTGGCAATCAGTATCTACTTTAGTTTCTTGATCTCTCAACTACATGTTTTTTTAGCTTTTAACTTCTTCTTCCTTCACATCGATCATATATTATGAATGAATTAATTTTTTATCAGTCGTCATCATCAACAATTCGACAACAACATTATTAAGCAAGCGTCGAAGCAGGATTACATAAGAAGGGGGGCTAAATTTTAAAAATAACAAATTTTATATATACATTGTATGTGGAAAGGATCTACAATCTAGTTAATGTCAGCAACATTTGTCATATTTTGAAAATATTGCAAAAGGTTTTTAATTTCGATCTTTCCAAATATTTATTTTTTTAATATAACATAAGAATCTTTCAAACAATTATTTATGATCTTACTACATAATCTTTATTACAAAAAAAAAAAAAAAAGAAAAATCTTTCAATGATAGTTTTTGCAACCGGTAGAACTTATAACACCAATTTGATGTGTTGACACACTAACTTTCATGCCGTATGCCATTTTCTTTGAACTATTTTTTAAAACCAAAACTTAAATCAAAATTTCAATTTCAATTGAAAATCAAACAAACTACTTAGGGTTGGTTTCTCCTATTCAACATTCATTTCCACTAGACGGGATCCCAATTCAACACTAAAAAAGTGTGAAGACAAAACAAAAACTAGATGAACCAAAGAAAGAATGGGAAGAATAAGAAATTGAAAATAGAAAACAATTTTTTTTAAAAGAAAAAATAGAGAGAAAAAGAACTTTAAATGATTATATATTATTAATAAAATATTATATATATTATACTCCCTCACTTGTTCTCTTTGCAATTTACAAAAAAAAAATGAGTACATAATTGAATAATAAAGGTAATATTATCTTTTAGGTTAAGGGAGGAGAACTGAAGTCCACATTTTTTCCTAATGTAGGTCCGCCCATGTCCACAAGGCTTGCTTTACTGCCGAAGTTTCCGTAAATATTCTGTTTCACATAATGATAAAACTAATATATCTTGTTTTTTAAAGCTTAGCGTTATTGTTCCAAAACCAAGAATAAATACATTGCCGGGCACACTTCTCCAATTATCAATGCACACAACCCAATTACTACTTCCTCCGTCTATCAAAATGAGCCCATTTGGGTCCGACGCAGGAA